AAATTCGTACATCGACTTGTACTACGGATGCTTTATGCGAACAATTTGATCTTCTTCGCAGAACAAAAAAAAATCTGCCAAAACCATAGTTTAATTAATTTTAGTTAATTTGTGCCGAAAGTTACAAGTTTCGAAGAGTTCAAATTTCTTTGGAACAGGTTTTTGACGCTCTTCCAACAAAATCGTAAACAAATTTTGAACAACACCTTTGTTAAATACTGAAACTAAATACTGACAATTTATCATTTCCATCCTTTATATTTTGCCCATGTTTATCATCGGTATAAAGGTATCAATGTTTGAAATTATGTGTTTTGTAGTATCGAAACAGTTCAATATCACTGACTTTGTCTTGTTTATTGATTTACTTGATAATTCACTAGCTGATATACGGAGTCCAAACTATAATATCATTTAATTTATCAATCTTACCGCTTCAATATCTTGCATCAATATCCAATCTCCCGTTTCCTTTTCTTCTTTCTTTCTAGTAACGTTGGTTAGTTGGCAATTTTCAACATCTTTTGTTGTTCTGTAGTTGAATGCAACACATTCGAGTTTGTCATTGCAGTGAGTGTGACATCCTAACATGACAACTGAAGATGTAACATTGTGTCTTGATATTATTTTATCCTCAGGCAATGAGGGACCTCCTAAAATTTTAACAAGTCAATTGCAAATTAATGTCCAAATTTCAGCTAAATTTATGTTTTTTAGTAGTGCTTTTGGTAAAATTTATGTGTTTTACCATTATGGAGTATTTAAAAATTTTTCTCGACAATATTTTTACTGAACGAACGCGCAAAGATTGCTCACCTCTGATGATTATGTCGTAATTCGTCGGGGAACATTGGTTTGCTGAAATGTTTCCAATAGCAAGCAACAGCAAGCTTAAGCTGGCCGCTACAAACATCGTAGCGATGATCGCACAATAGAAAATGATCGTGAGATATGATGTTAGTTGTGTTTCATTAAAATATGAAAATACAATTAAGTTGCTATAGACTTACATTTCGACTCATAAGTAGGGAAGCGGACGCTTTTAATTTGAAAAGCTGTTAGACTGGAATTAATTAGAATAGCGTAAAAATGTAATTAAGTGAAACTAAATAATTACATGAGTTATTTTACTGTTTTCAACTTTGAGTACTAATGTAGTGTGCTGCGTGTTGTGAAAGGGAAATTTAAGGGATGTAAACTTTAAAAGAAGTCATTTTCAAAATCAACTCCAAACAGCATTTTTTGATTCGATAAAGATAAATATTCTTGATGCTATTATTGTTTTAAACGCTTTTATTCTTTTAACAAATTCTATAGTCCACAATATTTACGTTGTTATGGCAACAATTGCTGAACATGATGACTGATTAATCTCATGGTCAAACATTTAGACGGTATAATCTTCCATTCAAATATTTCATCTTTATATTCATCTTAATCTTTTCTATCTCTTTGAACAAAATATTAATAGTTTTTTTGATCGTTACAACTGCGTAAAAACTGTAAGCCGTCAGCCGTTTAATGAGCTGCATTTAAACCTTTGACAGTTATGTCAAGGATTGGGTTATCTTCAACACTTTATTTTGAATGTTTGCTTACAATATACGGCAATAAAAAATAATTTCATTCATTTCACTTGTTTCAACAAATATTAAACTTTTACACCACTCGACATGCAGCTCATAAATTATTACTGTTCCTTTATATTAACGATACTGAAATAGCAGATATTTTTCGAATGTCAGTTTAGTCAAGATGAAGATTAATTGTGGGACACGATTGAGCCAAACTCGTGACAAACATTCACAGTAGTTTTCTTAATTGATACAGTTTGTTTATTTTCTCCAATGCCTGGTGCTAGGCAACTTAGGACTCTTATTTCACACGCTAAATTGCTAAACCGCTTGCTAAAAGTAAGAAAAAAGTAAGAAAAATATTCAATGTGTCATCTAAAATAGACTCGGTTTCATGTGCGTCGTAATGGCGCGACAATCCCTTGCAACATTCTCAAACGGCCGACTAATTTCATTTCAGTCTAAAAGTTGCATTTTTTAAAAATTATACATGCAGATCAAGTCTCTTGAATTGCATGTCGAGAAAGCTGGTGTATATGTGTTGATAGTTGACTCATTTTTCCATCAACTGCTCCTGGCTTGAATTTGAAGTGTGCATAATTCCACTCGAAATTAAGACCTTCAGAACCATGTTGATATATACATATATATAATAATACTGCTAGCTTTTTTTAAGTACGTTCGTTGTAAACTGAGGCAAATTTAATGAAGTTTCTGTTACCTAAGGCCATCTATAACCTACAAACTCTCAAATTAACACAAAATTTTGGCTGCCTTTTGCGAAACAATCCATTCGAAATAAATTTTAATATTTAAAATGACTTACCACTACGTAAGTTTGCGTAGAAACTGCATGGACGAGCAGTAATAAAATACTAATATATGTTAGTTGCACTCAACAGCAATAAATTATTTAAGTGCAAGCTGCATAATAAATATCAACGTCTAATATTTGGCAGTTTATGAATATAGTCGTATAGCGCCGAGCATTAAAATATTATTTATTATTTATTTACTCTCCATCTGTCAATACTTCTTCAAACTTCGTATATACCCAGGGCCATTTTAGCCTGTGACAGTTTTGTCAAAGTTGGGTTATCTTCAACAATTTATTTTGAATGTTTCCGTAAAACACGACAATAAGTTAAAAAAGTTTACTTCATTTCACCTGTTTAAAACTAAACTGTATCAGCGTCAACAAATATTTAAACTGCATGCTTACACTGGCAGCTGCTCATAAATATCACTGTTCCTTTTTAGCATAAAAGGTTTTTGCTGATGTTAATATTATTGTTTAACAAAAGCCTGCATGTGGTAACACATATATTGATGAAAATAATACTCGTTTGATGTCATGATCATTACCAGAATTCAAATTTAAAAATAAAATCGAGCCATCGCTTGTTTGACAAATTTGCATTTTTTTCATACAACCAGTCGACAAACAGCCCAGTCGACATACAGGAATTTAGCATCTTGTTGACTGACTATAGAAGTGTTTGTGTTTTCAAACTCATTAAGTTTTTCTTTTACATGAACACATTGCATGAATCATGGTCTTTATTGATACATAGAAGAACACGTGCACGATACGATATTTGTCGGGCAAATGCTACTTTTAGTCACGTTCAAAGCGTAACAGGCAAGTAAGAAAAAACTTTACTTGACCAGGCTGCGAATTGAACCCACGACCTTCGGGATACTATATTTTGAGATATGCGCATTTTGAGTCATTTTCATATGACTTGTCGTCTTCGTTCTTGTTTAGTTTGCAGTACTTCGATTACACAACTGTGCAAATTACGATGCCAGTCCCAGCATGATATTGCAAAAATTAAATTTAGACACTCTTAATGTCAGACGTGCTAAATTAAAGAGTGTTCTGTTGTATAAAGTTCTCAATGGACTTTCAGCTCCGGGCCTGACTAATAATTTTATAAAACTCCGAGATTTGGAGGGCTACTATAATCTGCCAAATTATGACACTGATTTAAAATTACCAAAACCAAGAACCAATTTTTTAAAACGCAGTTTCAATTACGTGCGGCAAGTATGTGGAATAATCTTCCGACAGAAACAAAAAAGCTACCTCATCAGTTAGGCACTTCAAGCGTTTAATCTCAAGCCCTCTATTTAATCTGTAATATATATAGAATAATTGATTAGTCTTTCGTACATTTATCTCTATTCTTTTAAATATTGTACTATTTTCAATTTTTCTTTGTATTATTCACACGCCCCTCCTGGAAATCAACTATTATTAAAGTTGAGCGGGGCTAGCGTGTTTTAAATAAAGTGATGATAATGACTAGAGTTTTCAAGTGATATACCAGTGAGATCTCGTGAGATTGTATTGTGATTTTATTCAGTTTTATTAGATTACTAAGTGAATACAACACGTGATATAACAATAGTGCCAATGACAGAGTCTTGGTTAACCATAGCCTGGCAGCTTGTGCGCAGGTCCCCGATTAGGGCCCTGGATTAGGGTGATGTAGCCTGCAGCAAGCGACGCTGGGGGTCGACCGAGAGCAAAATAATAATAAAAATAACCAAGCCGAAACTAGGATAAGAATATACAGGAGGGACAACTTTGGATAGAATAAGTCTTTGTTTTGTCCTCAACATTGCTCAAACTGATACTAAACGTTCAAAGTTGTGTGCCTCATCCATGTCATATTGCTGCTGGAAATTCACCATCTTTCTCGTATTGCGTGCACGTCATTACCTGATGGTTTGGAAAGTCTGCCAAGCCCATCTGCCCGTGCACACATGCATGCATATAGTCTATTTTTAAAACTCAAATTACATAAGTTTCCTATTTCCTTCGTAGCTATTCTCTTTTTATTTACTGTGACAAGCGAAGATATAGCTGTCATGAAAATTAGATGCTTCTAGTACACTTTCATTTATTCGATTCATTTTTTGAACTTTCATCTCGGATTAGACCACAGTTAACAGAATATACATGGTTTGGAGACTAAATAAAAGTACAATACAACTCATTAACTATGTTATGGTACAGGTTTATGCAAAACATGGCTCCTTTCTTGTCACTTGTCTATTGTATTTCAGCCAGACGTACCAATGGCATTCGTTTTGCTAAGCTCCTCAACTTTGACACGAAGAATATGTTAATTATAAGATTGCTATTGGTTTATCTGTGCAAAATACAATAGACACGTGATGACAAAGGAAAAAATTTTTGCTTCAACATAGTTAATGAGTTGTATAGAAGTTTTATGTGGTCGCCAAACCATGTATATTCTATTTAACTAAGATTAGGTTAAGCGTAGGAGAAGAATCTCCTATATACATATTTTTATACACTATTTCAAGTATTTATGAAAACCACTTTTTTAAAAAACACCACACTTTTTATAAAGTAAACCTTATTTCTTTTTAGTTCTTTATTGTTCAACAACTCTATTTCTTCTTTCCAAATTCACGTGGTCGTATCTTCATCGATGTTGATTTCAGAGAATAACGATATCCTTTCCAACCGTCCCAGATGACTCCATCAGCGTACGATGCTTTGTATGTGCCATTATGATACAAACCATTTAAATTGGATTTATGACCATCATAATACCACCAGGCTCCTTTGAATATCACCGCACAGTTACCACCATCCCAAATATCATTGTCAGAGTCATTAGTGGTGAAAGCCATTCCGTCATGTCTTCTCAACGAGTTTTTCACTGTACCTTAATGTAAAAGTATATGAACGATGTCTTAAAAATAAAATAAAATTAGAAATCAAAATACAATATACACAAGCGGATATGAGCTAACGTGCAGATTGATTGGTTCTCTACTTGACAGATATAATGAGATATTAATGCTAATATCTACCTAGTAGAGAAACGTAAACAAAATGGTGGCAACATTTGAGGAGTTAAACGACGAACGATGAAATTCAAGTTTTCCTTGTTAAAAGTACACCAGAGTGCACAGACAGAGCGACAAACTTTAAACCAAAAGAATTCAACAGGTAGGTTAAAAACTACATGTTTAGAAATTGTTTTTACAAAAACGATTTAATTTGTTTGTGTGTGTTTTTCTGTATTAAAACGTTGGAAGAAAAAAACACGATACGGGATTTAATTATTTAACTTTTATAAAACAAATGTATTTACCATTGTTCCAATTACGAATAAGTTTGAAATTTGTTTTCATCCCACCCTTGCATGTGTATATAATAAAACAGTTATTCTATTCGCACTCGTCGTATATGACTAATAGCTAACGCTGCGCAGTGCGCCTCGTCGGCTACCAGCGTTGAAGTGCGGATACGAATGCGAAACTTTATCGACGGAACGGAACGGATATTGGGGATAAAATGCGGAACGAATAAAATTATGGGGTAAAATACGCAATGGATATCGCATTTTCTTGAAGAAAAATATTAATAAAAATGTCACAACAATCTGACTAACATTTTATCCTAAATACTTGAATAAAAGTCTACGTTCGTAAAGTCTTCAGAATGAGAGATAAATTTTTCACCGAAATTCTTTTAATTGGTTAGAACGAACCTGGACGCATTATTTTGAAATGTGACTTTAATACAAGGTGTTTGTAAAGAGATTGTAAAGAGAGCTGGACAATCCTATAAAATCAGACTCAGTTTAGTGTAAAATGCTTACCATTATAACCTCCAACATTCAACGTGTATTTCTCACTTTCGCTGCTGACTTTAAATGAATCATAATGAGCGTATCTGGTGTTTCCAGAGAAATCTTCCAGGTCGATACGAAGTTCATTTTGTGAAATATTGGCCATCATGTGTATTCTGTCAAGACCAAGCCAAAATTCCCCGCTCAAGTTACCAAAACCTTGTTTGTAATCTTGCCATCCTCGGTAGAAATCAACACTTCCATCAAGACGACGTTGAAATACAGTCCATCCTCCACCTGATGTTGTCATATCACAAAACACTTTGAAACTTCCCTTTCCATCAGGATTAACTTCATGAGTTCCACTTTGTTTTAAACCTTTGTGATAGATATCAGCACAGTCTTTTCCTAAGTATTTGCATATGGAAATTAGCTTGAAAATTATAAGTTTATATTGTTTGTGTTCAATGGTGCATCCGCTATCGAACAGCAACATATCGCGGACTCATTGACCAAACTTGTTGGTGACGGCAAACCTAACCAGACTATCGTTTCCATTAAAATGACTTCTTTTAAAATAAGAATGGAAAATCAATGAAGCGCCAAAGGCTATTACTCACATCATAGACAATTCAGAAGACAGGGACTGGAAACGGTATTGTTTTCGCGTGCGCTCTCCGTGATACGGTCGGCATATTTTGCCGTTCACGTAGAACTCCATTTTTGAGAACAACAATAGAGACACTTCTCAGCAAAAAGACAACGCACGCAGTTATTAGGTGATTTGTAGCCTCAATAACGCAAAGATTATGTTGGTAAAAGCAATAAGTTAAGAGTTTATTGTTTTTCGTTTAAACTATCTGCAAATGAGGCTCTAAAACTTGCCTAAAGTAAATTTAATGGGCACATATTTCGAGAACAACAATGGCACCTCTCTGTGTAGCAAAAAATACAACGGACGCAGTTTTTTGATGATTTAACTTTTCTAATATATTTAGACATTGTCACCTTAGGAAGCTTAAACAGTCCGATTCCTTTTGTCCTATACGGTTTGTCCCGCATTGATTAAAGGCACAATTATCACCCGGCATCAATAAAAATTAAAATTTTCCTCATTTTAATTGTAAATTTGTGTATAGTTTGTAATTATGCTAAAATCTCTGTGCTAAAATACTTGAAGACATATGCAGATGTGCACGGTAATGATGACGTCACACCACAAAACGGAAGACAATAGGATAGGCCATGGAATTCGTCATGAAGTCTCCAGACCATTCCCCTAGAGTAACTATGATTAAGACAATGTTGGAAAATGCGATAAGTGTTGTGTCATTGTGTCAAATATAAAAAAACCCCTCTGAAACCGGGTCGAAAAGATTTTATAGGGTCCCAACTACGTACATATTCAACGAGAACAAAAAAATTAATAGTAACCTTTTAACATCAAAGCACGACGCATTCAATTATTGGCGATTCTTAGCTTTACAAGCGCAAAAATAGGCTGATAACAGATGTATACCCTGTATTATTTTTTTAACACTGTGTAAAACAAAGTTTCTCAATTTATTAAAATTGTAGTTACAGTGTACAAATTAATGGTCCACACATGGCGATCCTTTTGTAGTTGGGACTGAAAAAGGTTCTCACTGTCGGGCTGACACACTAGTCTGCATGTAGTTACAAGTTACAAGTTGCAGTCGCTGTCCTAATGCATTCTTTTGTAATATAAGATGCTATTTTTAAGTGGTCAAAGAAAATTTATAGCTTTGATTTTAACTTACCGGGTGCCAAAAAAACTACCTAATTTTTACGTGCGTATATTTTTGATGCAAACACTTCTGGAACTGGAACTATGAACACTGTTTACACTCAAAATGAAAAATGAAAACGCACTTACCTTAAAAATTTATCTGACTTAAAGGTCAGGTAGAAATATGATATTTGTATTTAAAAAATTCTTCAAAATAAAAAAAATTATGCAAACTTATGCTGAATCTACTTCGCATTATTTTTTCTTAAAAAATAGCCCGGCTGCGTGTCAACTTAAAAATTGACGTGATTTAGCCATATCATGGATGGCGCGTCAGCATTAAAAGTGTTTTAGCTTGCGTTTCCAGTCCCTGTCTTCTGGATGGTCTATTCTCACATGCACCTGGTCGTTGCAAGATATGTTTTATTTGTCGCCGTTCGTTGCCTTGTAATATAGTTAGCAATTTTTTTACAGTTTTGAATTGTTTAATTTTTTTATATCTTTATAACACATACCTCTTTCATTTTCATCCGACGTGTTCTTTAAACAGGTTTTCTTGTAACCCTGTAATGAAGAAGAATTATTGCTTTTTTGCTGTATACGATGATGACAACGCTAAACCATCCAACAATATGAAACCTTGCTATTAAAGCCGTCAGGTTTATGTTCAGCACTTTTTATTTAAATGTTATAGCGAGAATTGATTTATATAATCTTACCATATGATCTGAATAGCACAAGAGTAATTATAGGCATTTGAATAAACAACAAAACAAAATAAAAATAACAAACATATTTCGATTTAACTATAAGCCATCTTCAGTGCGAATGAATTGGTTATTTTCATTGTGAAATATATAAAGTAAAATATAAACACAAACCAGACCTTAATTAACAAAAGGTTCTGCATTTTAACACTATTTTCAAGTTTAATTTTTGTCTCTCGTGTTGTTCTACTTATTATGCATATCTTGTATCCTGTTATGTTGTCAATCATTGTTGTCAATCATCGAGTATCACCTCGCCTGTATCATATTTCTACTTTATATATATAATTATTTCACAATGAAAATAATAATTCATTCCCACTGAAGATTGCGTATAGTTAAGTCGAAACAAGTTTGCTATTAAGATTTTGTTATTTATTTCAAATGCTTAATTTAATTAATATAATGTTGAAGATATACTGTATGCCAATAAATCATACCTTTTGTGGGTTAACAAGATAAACATAATTATAAGAGGAATTCTTCTCCAGTAATCTCTCAGATGTATTGTAAACCACGTTGTGTAACATTTCACAATTTGAATCATTTTTTGAAGTCAATTTTTTTTTGAAGTTGATAGATCTACAACATATCTCAGTCGCACACTCCATTACGCAATCTATCCATTCAGAAACGACTTTTGTCGTAACAACTGTTACATTCAGTCTGAACCCTAAAGTGTAAAATATTTTTTTAGGAAAACCTTCGCATTGCCAAGGTAGGTGGATAAGTGGGTGCTGCGTTAGGTGGGTGCTGGGTTAGGTGGGTGCTGCGTTAGGTGGGTGGTTGGTTAGGTGGGTGGTTGGGTAAGTGGGTGGTTGGGTGGTTAGTTGCATGGTTAGGTGGGTACATAAGTAAATTTTAAAAATTAGGAAAGAAGTATCTTCATTTTATATTTCCGTATGGTTTGCGTTATTTTCATATTTTTTATTTAAAATAGAATCATGAAGTTTTCTCGCTTTACTTTATTCATTTGCCAACCTTGCATGAGATCGGTCACGCTAAAATCAACGATGCATTTAATCCACTGCGTGTAATGAAATATTTGTCACCTTTAGGGGTCGCGCGTTGCTCCCAATATGCATTATTTTTCCTGAAACTTTGACAGTTTATTAAAAAGCTTTCCTACTTTTAGACAGCTAAATAATATCTCAATTTCAGCTTTCCATTTTCGCGCGCAAGCCCTCTCAATATCAGTGGAAAGGAATAACCCCCCCCCCGGTAACATAATTTTGTTAATTTAAAACCAAACTTGGCCTAGGTATACCAGATAAGTCTTAACTATCTCTAGGAACATAAAAATTTTTCAAATTCAACAAAATATCCTGAACAACGAAAATTTTACATTTGGGACATTTTTTTTGATACACCCTGTAGAAATTAAGGAAGGTCAAGTTTGCAAATTCTCGATTTCACTGACATAATATATACTCGTGCAGTGCAGAGGGTTGTGACATTGTGATATATTTTCAGATATTCCCCTCATTTGATTTTGTGCAAAGAATTGATCTGTCCCACATTTTCATGAACGAATAGCTTTATACTTCGATGATTAACAAAAATGTGATGAATTGATTTTCAATTTTAATTTCTATCACTAAGAAGCTCTAGATGCAGGAACAGTTTATTTCAACTTACAAAATGTGTGAAGAACAACTTAGACGTAATGTCCTGAAATGAACGTGACTTTCCAGGATACGACAATAATTATGTTGATACTTATTGTATGATAATTATGTAAGTTTTACATTACCTTCAAGACTAGAATTATAGCAAATGTTTGCACTGGTTTCACTTGATATGACATTTAAGACTGCAAGTGATATACATGGTACATATAGGCGAAAGAAATGTTTAAATTGCATGGTTCTTCAACTTTCAGTTGCAATAAGAAGAAATATTCCTGTAATGAAAATAGAAATTAAGCCTGCGTTACTGAATTTGGGTAGGGAACGCCTTGGAATGAAGCGTGATTATAGAAAAATATATTCACATGCCTAAATTGCATTAAGCAGTATTTTATTTCGGTAAATTGATTAAAATCCAGCACTCCCCAACATAATTAAACGACATGCAATTGCAGATGTTTTTCGAACTTATGCTTTTCGAAGCTTAGCCAAGATGGAGTTTAATTGTGCGACACGATTGAGGCAAACTCGTGACTGACATTCATTCTCGTATTTCTTATACGGTATTTCGGCACCGTTTAAGGCAAACTCATTTATCTAAGCAGGTAGTTTGCTTTAATTGATGCAGTTTGTTTATATATATATATATATATATATATATATATATATATATATATATATATATTATATATATATATATATATATATATATATATACACCCGTTTGCAAAAATGTTGGCCGCAGATAGATACATAGATAGATACTCGAAATCTAATTAGAATTTCATATGTTGTGTAATATGATTGAAATCCCATGCAAATGTAATCATATGCAATTCTAATCAGACTTCGAGTATCTATCTATCTATCTATCTGCGGCCAACGTTTTTGCAAATGGGTGTATATATATATATATATATATAATAATATAATATATATATATATATATATATATATATATATATTTATAGTGCATGTCAAAAAGGTTGTCCCTTCATATGTGACCTTCCACGGGAAAACATACGTTAACGCTATTTCGTTCGTTCGAAAATATCGTTCGTTATCCGTTCGTTTGCCGTTCAAACGCTTGAAGCGTTCGTTGAAACGATTTTCGAGATCGTTCATCGTTCGAAATTGCCCGTTCGAACGCTTAGGAAAAAACGTTTGAAAATTGGTCCGAAAGCGTTTAACCGTTTGATTTACCGTTCGTTGAAACGTTTGCCGGAATTTCGTTCAATCGCATTGGATTTGGTTCAACATATTAGATTAAACATTTGCAATGCTACAACTTTGCAGAAGAAGCGCAGAATGTGCTACACAGAAATACTCCCAGAAACGTATTCAGTTCCTTAGTATAGAAGGCTTGTAAAGGAAATAGTGGGGTTATATCAATCTAGCCTAATCGAATGCTATTTTGTGCGCTTCATGTTATGGTTTATGCTTAGCGTCATGCAGACAGAAGGCTATTAAGATTCAGTGCATGCAATTATTCCATTAGCGTCAAATTTCACGTCTTAAGCTGTCTCTCAAAAAATTATCGTTTTTTGAATTTCGGTAATGCACTGAATGGTTAGAATTTGTGCTTTACTATACTTCTGTAGCTTCCATAAGCCAAATTTCACCGCGCACCCAAACAACTCGCAAGCCATATATTAGCATTACGAGCCATAATATGCCTTGGCAAGGTGCTAATTAAGTTGCATAATTGTCGGAAGTCTCTAAATGTATGTAAACAGACAAAACCAGATTTTAAAATGAATTGAGGGATTTTGCGTGTTACATATTAATATCGTACTTTTAAACCATGTGTATATATAGCTAATTTATTTACATCTGATAAACTTATCTGGCCTCCGTACGAAGCAGCTACTGATTAAAATCTATTCAAAATTAAGGACCGCATCCTAGGACGGACCTTTCAGCTTGAAATTCGTTGTCTTTAATGCAGTCTGACATAGCTACAAATTATACAACAATTGAAATACCCTATAGGTAATATTTGAAGACATAAATACAGTGACCTAACGCGCGTTCGGTAGGGTTACGACGAGAACTAAGAGATCCTCATTTATTGGAGGCCAGGATAGATAACGAAATATCATAGTATAAGCAAAACGTGATTTATGACAAACAGCGAATTAAGGGACCCCGCAGTACCAAGTATACCTCAAGACCCCATCCTCAGCTCTGTTCGTTACGCCACTGCATGAATATAATAGCAATTTAAATATGTACGTGCATCTAGTCTAAAACTAGAGCCGGAGCAACAAGATCCTCAGTGCCCCGCTTACAAAATTGTCTTATTTCCTTAAAAAGGTATCTTTGTCTCCCCAGATCTAAGCCATCTGGCTCGATCGTTGCTGGCATGTTGAACGGTGGCAATTGCATAAATATAACTTATACATGGCATAAATATAACTCATGCATTGTAAATATTTATTTAGACTCTTAATTCACAAAAAAATACTTTATATATATTGATATATGCACATTTCAGCACAATTCACTCCCCATGTATATTTTGGTTGTAATTTGATTTCTCTCGACTTGCTCCTCGAATCGGAAACGTGGAACGCGGAGAAGGCTCAAATCGTATAAATGATAGAGACTGTATGAGAGTAATGAACCTATATCAATGATGTTCATTGTGTGACTTTTTTTATTACAAAAAAAATTCCGTGTTTTGTGAGGTTGAGTTTTGCGCTATGTTTTAAAGTGCGTGCAGTCCTTCATTGCGCACAACTGGGCTGACACAAGCCCAAAGGGCAAGTTGCCAAGCTAACGTTTACAAACATTTAAGTTTGACCTTTCAGATATTTTGCCACATATATTTCGCTATAATAATTCATCAGAAAAGGAGCATTGGAATTTATCTTGCTTGGACAACATATCAGCTGTTGGGCAACAGGAAAATTTTCACTAATTTTGATTTGGCCTCCCTTGATTAGAAATTACATTCCGGATATTAAATTGCAACTATGCATGGTCATTGTACCTTGAAGCCTGCCAGCTAGAGCGGCAAAATGAGCAAATTTGAAATGGCGCCTGTCAACTGTTTATGCGTGCATGAGCGCGCGGGTAAAGATCTTTACCAATAATTTCTGACTGTCCCAAATATTTGCTGGATATTAGCATCTATGGAGAAGTCAAGGCGTTTTAACGCAAGCATATATAAAGGTTAATACCAGGTATGAACACTAAATGAAACATTACCTATGATATAAGGAAAGTCATGACTTGGCCACTTTATTAGGCGCGCTTGCAATTATTTTCCTCCAAGCATTGAAATCAGGCTTATTGATGAAATCATCAACAGAATTCGTATAACGGTTCTCTCGATTTAAACTAAAGTTTTTTTCCCTTGAGTGTATTTGCTTGGCTAAACTGTAGCTCTCTATTGACCATGCATATATATCGAAATATGACACGCATTCGAAGTAAGATTTCATATAGATGATCATGCAATTGTATATAACAAGACGTTCTCAATTGCATTTTATGTATATGTTAACGCGAGTAAAATGTATTCGGATATAAATGCGCACTGCAATATACCTCTTTAGATTGCTTATCATGGCCGGTGGAATCAAGTTGGGCCACGATCATCCAATCATTCCGAATAAACATGACATGAAAGGTTGCCAGACATTGAAAATGGCTTGGCTGAGGTTAGAAAAGTTGTTAGCTTGGGCCGTGGTGGTTACAATTTATAGGATATATTTACTTACATTGAAACAACAATTGTTTACAAACTTTGCTGACATTTTTCATAAAAAAGGGGTAGATGCTACCTCGAAATATATATAATTATATGATATAAAAAGATTTCGCCAGACAAAATGGATTAGTGCTTTCATGCATGTCTTAATAATCTTGATTAGTTAATTTTACTGAAGCAGGAGGACAAATTGTGTCACAAGTAGATGTCTCGAAGATGTTGAGGATCGTTTGTTTCTTAAAATGGTGAGTATAAACTCCCCTGT